GTGTTAACCTTAGCAACACTTCAAAGACCTCAGATTCAAAGATGCACGGTGGCCATATCCAGACTGCGGTCTGAGAGCGTGCGTGTCATCGGGCGCACAATCGAGGCCCAGCCCGGACCATCATCGCAGCCCTCTGCAGCTGCATCTGGCATGTTACTCATCATGATTAGTTTGTTTTTGGAAACTGTTCCAAATGCCAATTTTGTTGGGTTTTGTTCTTTAGATGACCCGTGGCAGCATTTGGATGATGGGGTGGGGAGACTGAAAAGAAGTGCAACAGCAGATGCTATATCTGAAGTCCAGCGATACCTGGCAGAGGGGAATATTGTCCGCAGTACTACGCAACACACTACTTTTCCAAAGCTCTCCCACCTTGCACAGGAGTTCCTCTGTACGCCCGCATCAACAGTGCCATGTGAGCATGTGTTCTCCACAGCAGGGGAAATAGCATGCAAGAAACGCAACAGACTCAAATTCCAAACACTAGAGCAACTTATTTTTCTGAAAAAACATTTATGAAGACAAAGCCCACAAGCATTCTCATTCACATAATTTTCACATTATTCAAACATACTGAATAACAATATGAATGCATAGATGTGAATGATATTGCATACAGTTCGTCATCAAATCAGTCAGTTCAGTCTGTCAAGTGGCTTGCCTGCAGGGATTTTGAAAGTCAAGCTGGTGTCAGTGGTCCGTGATACAGGATCAACAAATTATCAACACAGTGTGTCATTGTGTCAACACGCTTCATGACACTTTAACACTGTTAAAGAATAGTGCACGGAGACACACATAATCATTTTAAAAAATGTTTTAAGTTGTAAGATTTGGATTTATTTTTAAATGACCATTTGCATTTTCGCTAGTTATTAGTGCACTACATTAACACATTACGAAGCGTAAAATACATCAGTGGAGACCCAAGACTGTTGACAGCTGAACCTGTACATCTGATACGAATTCCTGAAATCCGTAATCAGAGCGGATCCCACAAACCTAGACCAAGACAGACCCAGTGACAAAAATTTATCAAAGTAAAAAACAAACCCGACAAAGTACAAATATATATATATATATATATATATATATATATATATATGAGAGAGAGAGAGAGAGAGAGCAAACAACGGACAGAAGGGTGCAGTAGCCTGGAGAGAGAGAGAGAGAGAGAGAGAGAGCCCTGCTAGCTATATTTGGATAATAATAGCAGTGCTATAATTGATACAATTTTGTCCTTGTGTGGAAGTTCAAGTGTATTTATGCTTTTAGCAGAGCTGGGTATTGCACTGCAGGAGTGATTGATTAAGATTAAATATCTGCAGGGAATGTGGGAAGGAGGTAGCCACACAAGCTTCCTGTACAATTGGAATTGGAACACAGCCCGTGTTGTCACCGTTCCTGTTAATGTTTCAGATGCTAATCAGTTGCTGTGGCTCTTTTATGCTTTGTATCTTTATTCTGTCATATACTGTAGACTTGATATCTTGCAGTACATAAACTTGGATTACTCAGTGACATGTTGTCAATCGATTGAGCTTTCTCCCAGTCAGTGTCAGCTCTCTGTGTCTTCTGCATCCAGCCCTGCTCTCTGTAGTTACTTTGTATTTTCGTAGATAAAGACTTTTCAACTTCTGCTTCAGGGTCCTCATTCTGGTCCTCATGTGACAGGCTGAGACATAATTACAGGGTTCATTTTGGGTATTTACTCATATTTAACTTTCTACCCTTTATGAACAGTCATATTTATTTATATTATATCTGTTATTAGTCTTGTGTTAAGACTACTACTTGCTCTGTATTTAGCCCTCAGTTATCATTGCCCTTAATCCATAGACCTCAGCCATGACTGCAGCAACTATTTCGTGATTAATGTTCTTTCCTACCCATTTATTCTTCTTGTTTAAGTGTTGTACCACCATTCTACTTTAAAACTTCTCCCAGCAATATGTGAGCTATTTGTCTTGGATGCAGTCTTTCAAATAAAATTGTTACAGCAACGATTATGGCATTGCTTGTCAACCAAATTATGAAAATGGATATAATTTTGATGACTGGCAATTATATTGATTAAACACTGAAACATGGCCTTCAAGTTGAATTCATCTGAATGCAGCCAAACATTCAGTGACAAGTGAGAATGTTGAAAATAAGATGTGCATCTGCAATGCAATCCTCCAGGAAAGAGCCCTGAGAGCACTTCATGCTTCCCTCTGCTGGCTATCTATATGAAGATGTCAATTCAAAGGTTTTAAAAGTATATTCATGATGAATATTTATAATATCACCAATACTATTTGTTTGCTTTCACTCTACGGTCATGAGTTTTGATTTTCACTTTGGAGATTCACACACTAATCTCAGTATTACATTACTGCAGCTCTTCCATCCATCCATCCATTTTCTAATCCGCTTTATCCTCACACGGGCCGCGGGGGGTGCTGGAGCCTTTCTCAGCTGTCTTCGGGCAGTAGGCGGGGGACACCCTGAACTGATTGCCAGCCAGTCGCAGGGCATACATAGACATACAACCATCTGCACTCACACTCACACCTCGGGACAATTTAGAGTCTTCAATCAGCCTGCCACGCATGTTTTTAGAATGTGGGAGGAAACTGGAGTGTCCGGAGAAAACTCACGCTGGCACGTGGAGAACATGCACACTCCACACAGGAAGGCCGGAGCCGGGATCGATCCCTGCACCTCTCACTGTGAGGCCGACGTGCTTACCACTCTACTACTGGGATGCCCTACTGCAGCTATTATTTTTAATTTATTTTTTTAATATAGCTTTGCTCAAGGATCATACAACTCATTTAGAAATAGCAATTTTAAAATAAAAATTTGTTATACAGTCTGGAATCGCCCTACTGGAAATGTTTCTTGACAAGAAAAAGCAGATTTACTGTTATTCACAATATGAAATAAAAATCTGTAGATGATTTAAAAAACAAAAAAAGTGAATCCAATTGTTCATTTGCTCGATTGTCATATATTTTTGTTGAAAACA